ACACAGAGCGGAAAAAAGGAAAACATTTGGCCGACCTAATACTCCTCCTTAGTGGCCCTTTCAAAACAAGTCCCACCCCTTCCGCCGACGCAAAAAAGTATGCTGAGTATTAGCGCGCAGATTACATCAAAGGCCGGCGTCGGCGCCGGCTTCAGCGACGGCGTTGGCGTCGTCGGAGTCGGCGGCAGGATGAGTGTGGGTGTGGGCGTGGGCGGAAGAGGGGTCGCGACGTGTATGAGAGGCGCGGGCGCCTCGATAGGCCACTGTGCCGTGCGACGACTGCTTTTATGCGGCGCTTTCCAGTAACTACTTCCCGAAACGCGCGGCGCGCCATACGGACCCAATTAGATTCCTACCTGCGGAATCCTCTCTAATGGGACGGTGAGCGTGTTTGTGGGAGCGCCGGAATTGCCGCGGGGCGAAGAAGGAAGCAGCGCCGCACGCGGCGAAGCGCGCACCCAGCCGTGAGCTCGCGCCGCTCACTTTCACAATGGCCTTGGAGACACGCGCGCCATCTGGCGGGGGAGCGCGCAGACTAACGTCACGTGATCGCACGCTGTTGCGGCCGAACGTTGTCCAAAACGATTATTGGGATTTGCTCTTATTAGCGTTCATTAATATACTAGCGCACACATATTTTCTCGTTTAAGCTGTTTTTATTAAGGAGGACGAAGCTAATACAAAAATGAAAAAAAATGTATGCATGTACACGTGTAATGCTTAGTGCACGATAACATTTTCATACAAAATAATGGCCTTGTTTTTGTTCTGGCATGCAACGAACGATTTTGGAAGTAGGAAAAGCCGATTTAGGTGCGTGCATTAACATGTGAAAATAAACGAAGTAATTTTTAAACTGCAATACAGAATATCATATTTTAATACACCGTTTCTCCAATGATTTGTGACTTCTCCAACCGTGCCTTTCTTACTACGAAGATTCTCACCTAATGAGTGGTTTGAAGAAAATGGTTGAAATCGAAGCATTTCCAAAACATTATTTAGCTTGTTTTTCACTTCAGCAGACAAATGACTTCATGTAAGTAACATTTTTTTCCAAAATATATAGAGCAAAGAATTCACAAAATGTACGACGAAGAAATTTCATAAATAACGTACTAATTTTATAAATTAATTTGACTTTCTAAATACGTTTTGAATTAACCTATTGATATGATAAAATTATTCCAAAATGTGAATTTACATTGCCCTATTTTCTGGAAGTCGTAATATTTGATAACCACTTTCTCTCTATATCATGTTCATAATTGAGTTTAGTAAAAGCTATAATTATACAGTATACATTTCTGCAATTGTAACTCATCGCTAAAGGGAATAACTATTTAGACATTTTCCATGAATGTCTGCATCCTCCCTGTACCTTACCACCGAGACGTACCTTCCTAAAGTTCGGAGGGATGTATTGTGGGATGAATTCGACCCCGAAAAGTTTTCAAGAAATGTGTCCACCAAGTTGTTTTCTGTTAACTTGGTCGTCTCACAGAATGGAGAAAAACACGAAGAGAAGTCTAACTTCAGAAATTTTCCAGATTGCGCTTTCACTTGATGCTGCCAATTAGCGAGGCTGAAATCTCATCTCTCCACTGCTGAGTTTTCAAACCTACATCCCAACGAACGATGCATCAAGAGCGAATTGCAAGTACAAAGCGTATAATGAGCAACCGGAGCTGTTACGCCATGAATGATAGAATGCATTATTGTCTAATGCAGTGTATGCTCTCCGCGCATTCAGAGAACTAGTGCAACAGTTCCTACTCAAATGTAAATATTTTACAGACCTCTCTCTCTCCGTGTTTCAAACCATCTTCTAACGACGTAACGAAGTGTAAATGTATACTTCAAAAAACTCCCTGAACACAATTCTAGTTTTCATCTTTGGCTTTCCCTCAATACGTTGTCCAGGCTTATAAATTCATTATTGTGGAAATGGAAGTTTATCTCCGAAGGGAGCGAATCCCGTCAATATCTAAAAAAAAATACGCGAGATATGAAAAACTACGAACCAAGGATCTCACGCCAAAATATTGTTTTTTAAACCCATTATGTACAGTGTTTAGACACATTAAAAATCCTGTTGCGGTAATTCATTCCCTATCTCAGTGCGCCGTTCAATATCGTATCACAAATTTCCCTAGAGAGCCCTTTATTTCGACACAGTGACCTCGCTATT